ACAGTAGGCACAAGGCCGTGCCTACCAGCTCTCCCCTCTTCTGAGTCACGGCTCTCACGCCTTCTCAGGGAGTCCATTTCCCCTCTTCTCTGGAAGCCTCACCTCATATCCAGGCAGTAGGGAACTGCCACCCTCTTGGGCAAGGATAGGAGCTGCTGTTTGGCCTGGATGCCCTTGCATGTTTGGAGGTAATGAAGCCTAGGGCTGGCTTTCGACGTTGATGGAAGCTTGAGGGCAGGGGATGTGCTGAGGACCAGGAGAATGCACTGCTGCTTTCCAGCGGCTGAGTACCCAGCCTGCTGCCACTCCTATACTGCGCAGGAGACAGTGTAATGGTGTTTTGTTTCGTTGAATCTTGCTCTGTCGCCCAGGCTGGAGTGCAGTGGCATGATCTCGGCTCATTACAACTTCCTCCTTCAAGCGATTCTCATGCCTTGCCCTCTGAGTAGCTGGAACTACATGTGTGCGCCACCCCAGCTGGCTAATTTCTGTATTTTTAGTAGAGATGGGTTTTCGCCATGTTGGCCAGGCTGGTCTTCAACTCCTGATCTCAGGTGATCCACCCACCTTGGCCTCCCAAAGTGCTGGGATAACAGGAGTGAGCCACAGCACCCGGCCCTAAGAGAAGGCAACTGGGAGTCCATTTTGCTCTTGGAGAATTCAGGGTCTGGTAAAGGGACCTTATGGCAAACGTTAACACTCCAGATGCCATGACAGGAGTGATGGTGTGACAGAACAGGTGCTGGGAAGGGTGCTGAGGGGCAGCCCAGCCCTGGCACGGATAGGGCAGGGGTCCGAGAGGCCTGCAGGGCACTGCAGAGTAACTGGCAGACGGGGTGAGAAAGGGCATTTTAGGGATGGGCGGGCAGACAGTGCCTGATGCTGGCAATCACCCATGACCTGCCAGGTCCAGCCGTGGATCCTCTCACTGTATCGGAGCACGGGGCTTCTGGGGACCAAAGTCTGGAAAATGGGCTGGGAAGTTGGACAGGGAAAGCCCTTGGAGGTGGTCTGGTCACCTGGGTGAGCGAGGAGCCAGTCTTCACACCACAGGCATCAGAGCAAGCATGGGTGCCTAGAAGCCTGCAAACAGTGCCAGCCTCCAGGCCCTGTGCACCAAGGCGGCCTTTAATCTTGCACTTGCCCTCTAGGAAATGATGGGGCAGTATTCTGTGTTGAGAGAGGAAAAACACCCCCTCCCAGAAGCATGACAGGCAGAAAGCAGAGAAGGGCCAGGACTGGCTGAGGGCCGGGAGCTGGGCCTCCGGGGTGGACACACCCTTGGGTCACACTGTGAGGGTAGCTTGGTCAGCCAGTCCCACCACTGCAATGACCACAGTTGTGCTGGGCTTACACCAGTGAACCGAGGCTCTGGATTCTGAGAGTCTGAGGATTCTGTGAAGATCTTAGACTTGGGCGCAGAGCAAGGATGCGTGAAATTGTCCACATTCAGATTGGCCAGTGTGGCAACCAGATTGGAGCCAAGGTAAGTAATGTCTGGTTATAATCCTAGCGGCAGCCAACCAAGAGAATACCAGGGAGCACAATGAATCTAGAAGATTTCATGCACTTGCTAAATATCAGACAATGCCTTCAGGCTTTACAATAACTCTTAAAAAATTTTTTTTTCACACAGGAAAAGAAGGAAATAATCTTTAATTAAAGAGATACAAAACACATTAAGGGCTTAGAGTGTTAATTTTGTCCATAGATACCTATGTACAATACATGCCAACCATTATATAATATGTTTATCATCTTTTTTTTTTGAGACAGAGTCTCACTCTGTTGCCCAAGCTGGAGTGCGGTGGCACAATCACAGCTCAGTATAGCTTCAACCTCCTGGGCTCAAGCTGTTCTCCTGCCTCAGCCTCCTGAGTAGCTGGGATTATAGGTGTGCACCACTATGCCTGGCGAATTTTTTTATTTTTTTTGAGAGATGGGGAATCTCACTTTGTTGCCCAGGCTGGTCTTGAACTCATGGTCTCAAGCGATCCTCCACCTCAGCCTTCCAAAGTACTGGGTGGGATCATCTTTTTTGCTTCTCTGTTTTTTTTTTTTTTCTTTTTCTTTTCTTTTTTTTTTTTTTTTTTTGAGACAGAGTTTTGCTCTTGTTGCCCAGGCTGGAGAGCAATAGCGTGATCTCGGTCCACCACAACCTCCGCCTCCTGGGTTCAAGTGATTCTCTTGCCTCAGTCTCCTGAGTAGCTGGGATTACAGGCATGTATCACCACACCTGGCTACTTTTGTATTTTTAGTCGAGACAGGATTTCACCATGTTGGTCAGGCTGGTCTCGAACTCCTGACCTCAGGTGGTGTGCCAGCTTGGACTCCCAAAGTGCTGGGATTACAGGTGTGAGCCGCAGCGCCCAGCCCACTTTTATCATCTTAACAATGAACTTTACATATCTAAAAATAGGAATTTGTCTCAAAACAGCTTTTTGAAGTTTGTCGAGGAACTTTCTATACCCTGTCACTAAGGTGTTTTTTCCCTCCCTCCTCACGTTTATTATAAAGCTTAAAAAAATCAATTACTGGCTGTGCACGATGGCTCACGCCTGTAATCTCAGCACTTTGGGGGACTGAGGCGGGCGGGTCATGAGGTCAGGAGTTCAAGACCAGCCTGGCCAACATGGTGAAATCCTGTCTCTACTAAAAATTTAAAAATCAGCCTAGTGTGGTGGCCTATAATCTCAGCTACTTGGGAAGCTGAGGCAGAATTGCTTGAACCTGGGAGGTGGAGGCTGCAGTGAGCTGAGGTTTTGCCACTGCACTTCAGCCTAGGTGATAAGAGCAAGACTCCATCTCAAAAACAAAACAAAACAAACAAACAAAAAAATCTACCAATTGCTGTTTTATTAGTATGCAATTGAAAATTTAAGAGGTAGACCTAAAATAAAAGTTTTCATGTACAGTAGCAGAATTAATCAAAATATACCCTCTGGACTATAAATAATTTGTTCTCTCCCTTACCTCCCCTGCTTAAGAATTTCTATGAAGTACCTAAGTCAATAGGCCAACCCCAAGAACACAGGTGCCCAAACCCACGATCTCCAATCTTGATTTTAAGATGACCAATTGTACCATACAAAATTTATCGTGTTCTCTTTGCTATTGCGAAGTTACTTTTACTAGTATGAGTTGCATTAAAAGTCAGGTTTTAAAACACCTACATTCATCATCCATCAATGACACTTGGGTTGTTTCTGCCTTTTGGCTACTGTGAGTAATGCTGCTAGGAAGCAACTACGGCTTTTAAATGCAGGTGTTTTAAACCCCGGGCAAAGAACATTACTGCTTGAAAAGAAGTCACCATTCCTCCATGCCTCGGGGCAAGACATTCATAACTAACACAGAGAAGTGGCAGGCATGAGCCCTGCTGCTCTGAAGCTGGCAGATAATATGGAGAGGGGCCCTTGGGAGAAGGTGGCTGGCTTTAGATAGGGTCTCAGCTGTCACTCCAGAATCGCGTTGTCTAGTGTTGAGAGTCTTGGCCGACTCATAATTTGGGGCCATAAGAACTTTAAGACACATTTAATTTGGGGTATCTTAGAACTTGAATTTTATTCTTCTTCCACTCCCTGAACAGTGCTGGTAGTTTACCATGAATTAGTGCCTTGTTACTAAGACCCTGGCCTATGATTGGGGATTTTAACATACCCTCAGGGATTTTAATGTATGTGAATACGTTTTCATTGCATTTTAATATGTGCTTTTCAGGGTGATCAAAAGGAGTCATCCCAGTAACTGTTTGCATATTAAGAGCTTGGCACATATCTATGTTAATAAGTACTGTGTATGTGACTGGAAGAGCAGTGTGTTTCAAATAGTTACTAGAGGACAACTATGTGTAATTTTGAATTGTGTGTATACCTAGTCATAAAAAATGCACATTACCAGCCAGGTGTGGTGGCTCACACCTGTAATCCCAGCACTTTGGGAGGCTGAGACAGGTGGATCACCTGAGGTCAGGAGTTCAAGACCAGCCTGGCCAACATGGCAAAACTCCATCTCTACTAAAAATGCAAAAAGTAGCTGGGCATGGTGGCAGATGACTACTTGGGAGGTAATTCCAGCTACTTGGGAGGCTGAGGCAGGGGAATTGTTTGAACTCAGGAGGTGGAGGTTGCAGTGAGCCGAGATCATGCCATTGCACTCCAGCCTGGGCTACAAGAGTAAAACTCTGTCTCAAAAAAAAAAAAAGAAAAAAAAAAAAAAAAAAAAAAAAAAAAGAACAGACATGGTGGCTCATGCCTGTAATCCCAGCACTTTGAAAGGCCGAAGTGGGCAGATCACGTGGTCAAGAGATCGAGACCATCCTGGCCAACATGGTGAAACCCCATCTCTACTAAAAATATAAAAATTAGCTGGGCATGGTAGCACACACCTGTAGTTCCAGCTACTCGGGAGGCTGAGGTTACAGTGCACTGAGATTGCATCACTGCACTCCAGCCTGGTGACAGTGTGAGACTCCGTCTCAACAAAAAAAAAAAAAAAAAAAAAAAAATGCACATTACTTAAAATCATGCATAGAAGTCCAAGTTATGGGTTGTTTGGAAAAGTTCATGAAAAGAAATCCCCAAAGTGAAATATTATTGTGAAATCAGATAAAAATTCAGTTTATTTTCCTTTAATGGAATCTACACTTTACTAGCTTGGAGCATTATAAAGAGAAATTAGAGACACATTGACGTTAAATTCTAAAACAGTTTTAATGTATATAATGGCCTCAATTTAATAGGAGCAAAATCCAATTTAGTATTTTGTGACATTTTATTTAAGTTCAGGTGGGGAGAAAATGCAGCCTTCATATTACTTCATATTGCTTAGTAGAGGCAAAAAGTAAATGATGCCATGGTTATTTATGAAAAGGCCCAAAAAGAATGGCTTGGGGAGGGTCAGGCAGCCCCAGGGAAACAGGCCTGGGAGTACTAACTTTCTCTCTGACTAACACAGCCTTTTTGGGGGTCCCTTTACTCCGACCTTCCTCCTGCTTTCAGTTCTGGGAGATGATTGGTGAGGAGCATGGGATCGACGCGGCTGGGAGTGACCGCGGAGCCTCGGCCTTGCAGCTGGAGAGAATCAGCGTATACTACAACGAAGCCTACGGTAGGCCCGGGGGGGCTCTGGGAGCAGTGATCTGGCAACTGGGAACACAGACAAAGGAAGGGCAGAGGCTCAGGAGACAGAAATGTCAATGCAACGATGTCCAGGCTCAGGCAGGCGGCAGGCAGGGCAGCAGGATCCCGAGAGTGGTGGGTCCCCAGCCCCTGGTCAAGAGGCAAGACTGAGGAAGAAGCTGCTGGATGGGGCACACACCTTAACACAAGCAGGTGAAGTACTCACTTTCCGCCATGGTTTCACAAATGAAGCCAGAATCATTTCCAATATGAAAGAAGAGAATCTGTCACCGGTACTATCACAGAGCAATGACGGGAAGTGTTTCTTGGGTATTCTATAGATTTGTGAGATTGCTGTTGGGGTCAAAAATAAGACGTTAGATACTCAAATCTCAACCTACCGAGGGCCCCTTTCTAGAATATCCATGATTTTTTTGGACCAGTATGGCAAGGTCTATTCTGATAAAACATTAACTTTTAGAAAAACAAGCATGCTGACTTTTTCCTATTTTTCTACACAGGTAGGAAATATGTGCCCCGAGCAGTCTTGGTGGACCTAGAACCTGGGATGATGGACAGCATTCGATCTAGCAAATTAGGAGCCCTCTTTCAACCCAACAGTTTTGTCCATGGTAGGTTTCTCCAGAAGGTTCCACCAGGAGGAGTAGCGGATGCCTTAATGGTGCCCTTCTCTTTTCACCTTGCTGGTTACTCTTTTTTGCCACAGGTAACTTTGGGGCTGGCAACAACTGGGCCAAAGGCCGTTACACAGAGGGAGCTGAGCTGATCGAGAATGTCCTGGAGGTGGTGAGGCACGAGAGCGAGAGCTGTGACTGCCTGCAGGGCTTCCAGATCGTCCACTCCCTGGGCGGGGGCACAGGCTCCGGGATGGGCACTCTGCTCATGAACAAGATCAGAGAGGACTACCCGGACCGGATCATGAATTCCTTCAGTGTCATGCCTTCCCCCAAGGTGTCGGACACAGTGGTGGAGCCCTACAACGCGGTCTTGTCTATCCACCAGCTGATTGAGAATGCAGATGCCTGTTTCTGCATTGACAATGAGGCCCTCTACGACATCTGCTTCCGTACCCTGAAGCTGACAACACCCACCTACGGGGATCTCAACCACCTGGTGTCCTTGACCATGAGCGGCATAACGACCTCCCTCCGGTTCCCGGGTCAGCTCAACGCAGACCTGCGCAAGCTGGCAGTGAACATGGTCCCCTTCCCCCGCCTGCACTTCTTCATGCCCGGCTTTGCCCCGCTCACGGCCCAGGGCAGCCAGCAGTACCGGGCCCTCTCCGTGGCCGAGCTCACCCAGCAGATGTTCGACGCCCGCAACACCATGGCTGCCTGTGACCCCCGCCGTGGCCGCTACCTAACAGTAGCTTGCATCTTCAGAGGCAAGATGTCCACCAAGGAAGTGGACCAGCAGCTGCTCTCCGTGCAGACCAGGAACAGCAGCTGTTTTGTGGAGTGGATTCCGAACAATGTCAAGGTGGCTGTTTGCGACATCCCGCCCCAGGGGCTGAGCATGGCCGCCACCTTCATTGGCAACAACACGGCCATCCAAGAGATCTTTAATAGGGTCTCTGAGCATTTCTCAGCCATGTTCAAAAGGAAAGCTTTTGTGCACTGGTACACCAGTGAAGGGATGGACATAAACGAGTTTGGGGAAGCTGAAAGTAACATCCATGATTTGGTGTCTGAGTACCAACAATTTCAAGATGCCAAAGCAGTTCTAGAGGAAAATGAAGAGGTCACGGAGGAGGCAGAAATAGAGCCAGAAGATAAGGGACATTAACTGTGAGAGAAGCTGTGCCACGGAGCCGCTTACAGAACAGTTTCTCATTAGATTAGTGTTTCTCCTGCAGCATTCCAAAACCCATTCTGCACTGCAGCACAGTGAATGATACGCACTCATCATTAGCTTCAACACAGGGACTGCGGGAGATGGGGTGGGGAGCAGCTGATAGGCATTAGGGTCTTTGCTGACATTTACTAACTTTGACGAGTTTGACATTAAATGCATACTTATTAACTTAAAAATATTGCAAAGTGTAAAGTGCTCCCTTTGTTTCAAAGTGTTCACTGGCTATTTATCATATGCCCCGTGCCAGGCATCCAGACTACACGTGTGGATCTACAGGAGCCACCGCAGCTGGTGTTAACTTTTTAAACTCAAGCAGCGCTGATAAGCACCCTGGAATCCTCACTTGGTATCCGAGGGCTACGAAGACTCTTCCCTTAGGTTCTCTCCTCTGAGCAAACACTGCCTGGCATCCTGCCTTCCTGTGCCTGCCAGCCTTCACAAGAGCCAGGTGCCTGACTAGTACATGGGGAGCTACAGAGCCAAGGTCAGTGTAAGTCAACATCCACTAGAAATAATCCATGTTGTGTGGACCTGTGCACACAACCTGCTAACTGGAAAAGAGGAAAAAAGAAAAGCCACAGTCCTCCCTAGAAAAACACCTGGTCCAAACATGAAAAACAAAAAGACAAGCAAAACTAATCTGCAGCCTTCTGATCTTTATTTCTGAAGAGCTAGCTTTGAACATGTATGTTTATATATTTTAAATTTCTTATTAGTGTTAGATCCCAGGAACTCATTAATAATCATCCTTGGTTTTCCTTTTAAAGGCTCTTTTGAAGTGCTCTTTTCACTTTCATTCAGTAATCACCCCCCAAAAAGCTCGGCAGCCTCTTTGAGAAAGGGCACAGCATCTGATCAGCAACCATTCAAATGCAGGAATGAAGCAGCAGCGGCTGCAGTGTCCTTCTCAGTTACGGAGGAGGACGTCGTCTCATTAAGGAACTTTTACAGTTCAAATTAATTTGCAGAAGTTGCCATAAATGTTTGCATGACACAGCTTTAACACGACATGATTTTAATCTGCTCACATTACAACAGGACCAAATTCACAAGAGCGCAATCAAATCAACCATAACTTCTTAATTACAGTTTACCTATTTCTGACAGGCAGCACTGCCATCTCTTCCAGCACCATCAGGGTTTTAATGGCCCTCTAGAAATACCACTGAGATACACTATTTGATCCATGGATAACTGGTAATGGGAAAATGCTCCGACCCTCACTGCAGTAAACATTTACTTGCAGGCAACTGGGTTTTCATCTCTTGATTTGCTTTTGTAATCAGCAATAAAAAAATAGCAGGTGAATGGATGACAGTTGCTCATTCTGAGAAACTTCACTCTTCTCACATATGCATCATGAGGAAATAACTAAAGTACATATCAAGAGAAAAATACCTTGCCATTGGGATCACCAACAAGTCTTCTATTTACAAACTTCAAAAAACACAAAACCACCATCATATTTTCAACACTTTCTACTTGTGGTTCAAGAAGCACTAGATTTAGTAAGAAACTGCACCACTGCACCTATGTACTTAGTTTGAAGTTAGTAACTTCCTGAGATGCTAAAGACCTATACCCTGCGATTATACAAGGATTTACACATGCTTCCTCTGGTGCTTTACTTCCCAAACCTAAAGGGGCAATGAAATAGATGTAAGGAGAGAGGGATTTAAACCTTTTAAACACTTGTGATTTACATTACAGTAAAGATTTGTTTGCTCAATAGTAATCATTAAAGTATAAAATAATTTGGCAAAACTGCTTTATTTCAGACTAAATCAATTCCTTTTCTTGAAGCCTAACCACCCCGACTGAGTAGTTAAAAATATTTAGAAATGCATCTCACCATCCTACTCTTTTGTATGGTAGAAATAGATTTAAAAACACAAAACACAAACTAGAAACCTAGAGAAATCTGTCCGTTCTGATTTTGAAGAGCTTATTCCTTTAGCAGTATGGTTGCTACGGCGACATTGGTCTCTCAGAGACCGAGACAGCAGAATCAGAATCTTAGAGCTTATCCGATTCCTTCACTTCACACACAAGGACTACGTGAACTAAAAGACTGACTCCCTCAAACATCACCCAACCAGTTAGTGGGAGACCCACAAGTTGGTCTGATTGAGGTCACCTCATCATTGGGCACAGGTGTCCTGCCAGCCACCCAGCAGCACTGGAGGCAGGAAGTTTATTTCATTATACTACTGGTTCCGGATGGTAAACTTGTCTTTTACTCAGTTACTTCACTCCTTTCCATATCACAAGCCCCATCCCTAAGTCTCACCTCTTAAGCATTCCATCTGCCTCCTTAATAAATGACGTACCTCTAATTACTTGACTGGAAATAATTTAGCCCCTTTATTAGTTACTTTATTCATCCCATTATCAAAAAGGCCCTACAGACCTGTGATTCATTTATTCCTATTCCCTGTAATGGAGGATGCTTCCTAGTACCTTAGTCTTGGGGACCACAGCACTGAACTGAGGTGTCCTAACTTGCAAATAGCAGGCTGACAGCTCCGAGGCAAAGGACTCCAGGGGCTCCTAACGCACTGTTTTCCAGAGGCACTCTTTCCCACTCAATCGGCTGGGCCTCCCTGATCACTCTGTGCTGAAAATTCAATAAAACCTACAGGTCAAGTATTGGGACAGTAAGTCATTCCCAGAAGCTGGGACAAAGACTTTCTTTTTGGCTTGACCTCAGCATTGCTGACAGTGGCCCTGATAAATTCTTGTGAGCTTAAGTATCATAGTGAGAACGTGTCCTAGAACAGTGTTTCAAAATTTCCAGTTCAAATTTATTTCTCCATTCTCCAAATAGTTAAAATCAGGCAATTAACTTTGCAATGGTATTTTACCTGGCCAAGTGCTTCCAAGTTTCAAAGAAAGATAAAAACAGTAACTTGCAACAATTCTTCATCCCTAAATAATCAATTAATGAAATCACTATGAAAATAACACGAAACTGCGTTGTGATCATCATGCCCCAGACCTGCAGTCAAAAACTTTAGATTGTAATTTTAGTTTGGCCATCAACTCAGCAAGCAAGTTATTAAATAGCTTTGCCTCATTTCCTATGAGAAATGTTACCAGAATATAAAGATTAATTTACAAAACAATGTGAAAAGCACTTTGTGCTTAAAGTAATTGTTCTTATCTATAGGTTTTAAGTGCATAATACAAAAAAATGTGAGTACAATTTAGTATTTCTTCTTCCAATAAGCACTTTTAGTATGGAATAATTATTTTCATTTAGGTTACTGATGACCAATTCATTATTCTGACAACAATCCAAAAATAAGGAACTACAAAGCCTCAATGGCAGCAGATAATTTTGATCACCAATTAATGTCATTAAACAACTAATTCTGAGACATTTTCAAAATGCTTTCTGCATCCCTTTGGTCACTAAATATTAAATCTGGCTTCCCGTGCTTTTAAGAAACTCTGGTTCACATGGCTATAATCACGCAGCTGTGCAGACAGTTCCTTTAAAGAAAATAAAAGTCTGACAGAAACTAAAAATCAAGAGTAACAGTGAACCATACTTCAATTTATTGACATTGTCAATTTATGAACAAGACACGGTTTTTTTTTTTTTTCCATGAAATAAGATCCTTTTCAATCTGCCGTTAACATGTGGCCACACATCTTCACCTTGGAAATACGGCACATCAAGTTTTAGTCAGGGTCTAGGAAGAAAAAGAAAATGCAACAGTTGCCGGCTAGTTCTCGGGTGTTTTCTTAAAAATTCAACATGAATATAAGAAATAACTTCCTTATAGTGAACTGTATAACTGTGGCTATAAATCACATTGCCTTGGCTTGGATGTAAAAAGTGCCGGTTCAAGTACACAGGCTTAGTCAAGCAGGCATTTCTCGGCTGAGTGAAAGTAAACACTCTCAGTAATAAACTACTTTGCCTTTAAAAGACACTCACATCTCCTGTGCTAATGAGGTGAGGTTCCTAACCCCGAAAGACATAACAAAGAGGGGCTAATGCTTTGTGTAAGGGGATCGGACACTACTTCCCCAACCCCAGGACGCCGCAAAATCTCGGCGTTTGATGCAGAGTCTGGTGGCTCTGCTGCAGAGCGGTGTGAGGCTAAACGATTTGTTTATCGTTAAAACAAAACAACTCAACATAAAACCAGGTCTCATTACTCAGAATTATGAGATTAGATAGCCCCTAGAAAAAGGGCTAAATTCAAAACCCTGCATCTCCAGACTTGTAATAAAATATTTACTAATTCAAAATGAAAATAAAAAGTGCTTAGGGGAGACAGTTCCAATAAGTAAAATTGCTCATAACCACAAGCTGCCAAAGGATTAATATTTCTCACATTTCCGTGATATTGTGGGTCTGAAGCTTTTTAAAAGCAAAACAAGAAAATGAAATCTGGAAAACATCTCTGACAATTTGCTTTGCCTACCTTTGAAATAACAATGTCAAGAAAGTACTTTAGAGATAAAACCACCTTTACAATTTGAAACACAAATGTCTACACTTAGCAACTGTACAGAACTTTTTATTTCATGAGAATGTAACTTTACATCACCAACATCTTTGAAAAAGTAAAATGAACCAAACCCTCTGAAAACATAGTAAATTTAGCAAAACAGTATACACTGCAGGGTCGTGCAGATTTTATTGCTTGATACAACAGCAGGACCCTTCCCTGTACTTGCAGTTATGATGTTCGGGAAGTACTGATTTGTGAAAACATTAGTAGATGTGGGGGAAATAAAAATGTAAAGAACCGTAATTTTTCATGCTCTTGAACTGTTATGTTAACTCCAATAGCAATTATAAAAGTGGGGAGTTCATCCTCCAAATTATTTGATTTGCGCAGACAAATGAAACAGGTTTAATTAAATAAGATGGCTCTCTACCTAAGCATTGCTAAATGAACTGAAAATCAATGTGCCAATTACTTCTGCTTGTCAGAGCCTGAAAAGACTTTCTTTTTATTAGGCCACGGGACTTCTATAACCTGTATGCTTTAAATTATATTATCCCAATAACTAACTTCCAAATACACGGACTAAAACATGAACAGAACTCAAAACTAAAATTATTTTGATCTTTATGGTGTTCCAAAAACTTCAGATGCAACTGTTCTAAATCAATCAGTAACTTACAGATTATTCCTTCTTTACTTTCACAATTTTTACATTGCTGCCAGCAGTCTTCTCGGCATTTGCTTTGAATTCTGTCTTCAGTGCATCTCTCACTGCTTTTGCACAGATCTGGGAATATCGGATGTAGCTGGGAGAAAACGAAGGTATATAGTTAATTATCAATATTCCAGCCAGACAGCTGTTAGTGTGCTTTCACTTTTCTTCCTATACTTTTTATTTTGTTTTGGTGGTACCTTAGTGTACGACTGGATTTAAAAATATGACTAACTCCAAAAAGAATCTATACAAAGAAAAATAACACTAGAAAAAAATGTACCGAAGTATTAGCTGGTGTTTGGATGCATGATCTTTGATTTTTCTTCTTTGTACTGTTTTCTCTTTAGAGTATATTAATTCAAAATAAAAGCTGCATAAATGTTTTTAAAAATCCCACAGCACAGAAAAAAAATAGACCAAAATGTTAACAGAGACTACAACATGATTAATCAATTCTCTCTCCTTAAAACTTTAATTACGTTATTCTTGAAAGGTCAGGTATACATAATTAAGAGAAAAAACTATTTTGAATTAAAACAGTTCTTCCTGTACTAAATTATTTAAAGGCTTTCCTGAGAATACTGAATTCTGCATCACAAATCTGCCACTGAAAATACTTCCTAATCAAGATTTCTAAATTAAACTGAAAAGTGCTTAGAGAACATCATCAATGCTAGCAAAATCGTAAAACCTGCTTCCTGTTTGGTAGATGGACTCCCATCAACAACGTAGTTTCCAAAAGATGTCAGATCACCTTTCACACTTTTGAAAAACAGGAAGCGGGGAGGGGTGCTGCCTATTTTCTCATGTTTTAGAATTTATTTTGGGGACTCAGAGGTGTGAGTTCCAATGTCTGCGTCCATTCTTACTAACTGGGTGACCTTCAGGCTGGTCAACCTTTTCAGCACCTTTATTCACCTGAAAAAACAATAGAATAAAAGGGTAACACCTGTCCTGCTGACAGCTGGGAGGAGGAAAAACAAAGTGTGAAAAGGTACGGATCACAGGAAAGTTGGCTAATAAAATGGCATCTGCTACTGGGACTATCATCCAGTAGTAGATCATCCATCTTCCAGTTCTACAAGACTGCTTGCTTGACCTCAGCAAACCAAGAAGCTTAGTTGTAGAGCGGTCACATATACCCACAAAATGGAAAGTGCAACACCATCTAGTCAACGAACAAGGTGTGTCACCTGGAGCATGGTACTTCTGCTCATTCAGGTGCATGGGTCAGATGTGACACCTACAACCAAGGGTTTGCGGTTCCACTATGAGACACCATGTCCTCAAGTGGGTTCCATATTTGATCCTTCCAGGTACCAACTCTCACCTTTGTGAGGGGCTCTCTACAGTTTACTAATGACTTTCACCCCTTTTACACATAAGTAAACCTGACGTTGACAGGACTTAAAAGTTTAGAAATATGTGTAACGTTGTAAAAGACTCTACCGCGATGCTGGATTAAAGATCAAAGCTGCCAACAGCGGTCACGTGGAAAGAAATCTCCTGTTTCCCGAGGTGGCTGTGACTGTACTATTGTCACCACCTGGCTCCAGCACCATTCTGGAAAAGGCTTGCTGAACAAGAGCTGACCTCTCTCTCGAGAAAGCTCCCATTCGCAAAGGTGTCCACGGGCACTCTGTGGGTGCTGGGCCGCCCCGACGGGAGGCGAGGCAGGACACAGGCGCACTCTCACGCGAGGCCGAGGCCGCGCCCTCCAGAGCGCTTTGCCCATAGCGACGCCATCTTGGCGGCGGCACCCGAGGCTCGATCCAGTACCGGTCACGCGTGGGGCAGCTGCTCCCAGCCGTGTCCTGCATGACCTCTGAGCACTTGGATGCGTGCGGGCCGGGCTCGCGGCGCCCTTCCCTCTGGAGGCGTGCGCCTACCTTAGTCCAGCCTGTCGCCAGTAGGCCACCATGCTGTCGAGAAAACGGAGCGCGTCGGGTCGAATCGCAAAGACGCCGGCAATGTCGGCTCAGCCGGGCGGTTCAGCCGCAGGAAGTTCAGACCACAGAAGCGGAAGGGGCGGGGTATGCGGACCTGCCAATCACCGCCTCCTGCCCCGCCCCTCCCTTGCGCACTGCCCCTGTTGCCCTGCCACGGAAGCCCCCTGGCGCCAGGAGCCAATGGGCGCGCGAGGCCTGGACCGCGGGTGCCAATCCCCGGGCGGGCCAGCCGGCTGCGTCCACCTATTGGCTCTGCGAGCGCCGGAGGCGTGTGCCTCCCGGACTTCCGTATTACCCCGACGGGGGTAGGCGGGGCGGGGACGGCCGGGGCAAGAGGGCTGGGGGGGGCCGCCCCGCTCGCGGGGGGCCGTGGAGCCGCGTGCTTTCAGGAGGCGAGGACTCGAGGCGGCGCGGGGACGGTCTCCCCGAGGGCTTGGTTTTGCGCCCGCTTTAGGGAAACGACGCCGGCTTTTTAAAAATCTGTGGACAGATAAGCGTGTCCCAAGAGCTGAGATTCAGAAAAACGCTTAGGCACCCTTTTTCCCAGAGTGACAGTAAACCCTGGAAACCCGGTGGAGGACCCCCTTTGGCGTTTTCTGTTCTAGGACCTGCTTCCAATGTGCGACAAGACGGAGGGTAAGGCAACAGTTGCCACTGTTGCCCGGGATGGATGGGAAGAAAAATGTGAGGAAAACCCACTGGACGCACAGGGGATCTGCCACGCGGCAGGAAAATTCTCATCTCAGTGCCTGTGATTTAGAGAACCAAACTCTTAACCCAACGCGGTGAAGTCTCAGTCTAGGAATTAAAGCGTTTTTTCTCATACAGAGGAAAAAAAAAAAAAAAAAACTTTTGCTCTTCACCTTAATTATTAAAAAGAATTATAATCAGGAAAAACAATACTTAAAAGAAAGTTTTTATTAACAAAAGTTTTTCTTAATCCACATTTCAACTTTAGTATTAAATAGTCCAAGGGTTTCATTTATGAACACTTATTCCAGTTTAGTCCTCTTAAATTCATTTGCTTGCGGTGCATTTATGATTCACAGGTAAAAGCTATCAATTACCAGCTATTTCAAAAAATGTAACCAACTGCACTGGAAAATGAAAATTTATAGTTTTATAATTAGATCAGCGTTTAAAAAAAGGATAAGGATTTGTTTAAAAATCTATTAGGGCATGACACCTTTTTCAGAACAAGTATAATTTGCAGAAATTATACAAGGCAGATTTTCATCAAATATCAATTATTTAGCGATATTTAGCTGAAATGTTATTTCACTTGTAAAAACTATATCCGGTTACAAAAAAAATCAGAAACCTTATTGAATTTAATCTGCTTTTACAAATGTCCTAAAAAGTCTTAAGCTATACAATTTTTAAGTAGGAAAACGATAATTTAAAAATAGTTTGGTTATACTATTTCTGTGGTTATGTACATATATTAACTGGTCTCTGATAGGAAACAGGACTAGAAGTTTATCACACTAAGCACTGTAAAATAAAGGCAAGAGCTAATCATCTTGTAGCAAAAATACTCTCTATGCAACAATTGCAAATGTCAAAGTTATTATTTAGTGGTTACTAATTGGCTGCTACAAAATAGAAAACAAAGTACATTTATTGGATTTTCAGTTTGCAAGCTGCCCTCTGACATCCCAAACACAGAATTCCCATCAATAAAAGCTGCAGTGCAATTCACTCAGTGGTTGGTTTCAGGCCAAGCCTCCCCCCACCATTATCCTTGTTCTTTCCCACCACCCCCAAACCCTGCATTGGCACCATATTATTAAAAACATTCAGTACCTGGGGTTTATGCTTCAGAGCAAGACATCACTTGAGTAATTTCAAATGATGTACAGCTCCTTAATGTAAAAAAGATGTTTTGTGGTCACAATTACTTCAAAAAGTAATTATATTCAAATAACCTGACATATCATGTCTTAGCAATTACAAAACCATGATTTTGACACATGGCAATTTTTAAGTTAGGCAAATGTGAAATGCTAAAAGATGTGAACAGCCGTTCTTCTGTTTAAGTTAGAGCGCTGCAAAACTCAGGTAATGACTTTATTTTTTTCAGTTAACATAACCAGCCCACGGTACAGCATACTAAATCATAAAGTACAAATCCAAGGAAGTTAATACCTTTACTAAGTTACAAAACTTTGGCAAATCAATACAGTACTCTTTAATATAATGAAACCAGACTTTTGTTGGAGTCATGTTACTTTAGTGATAATTTTCACTCCAAAAATATTAAGTACCAAATCAAAACACTGGTTTTTAATGGTGGTTTATAGCAGAGCAAGTTATTTTACACAAAATATATTTTAAAACTACACAATTTCTCCTTTTAGGTGAGTTCCCTTGTGCAAGCTGTTCAAGTATACAGCAGCAGGGCAGTGGGCTCTGCTGTGTTCTGGGGTTGGTCCAAAGTCAGGTGGAGTTCCAGTGTATGAAAAGCGTGAAAATCCTACCTTAAGAAGATTCAATATCAGTACTCATTTCCAAGGAATTCTTGTTGAATTTTCACAGAAATACTGGAACCCTCAAAATCAGATAGTTAATTTCAAACAACATTAATTTCAGATGATCCGTTTTATTTACAGGCCCTGCATCTGTTTTGATCAAGTCACATAGCCTTATACCAACTTAGAAAAAAAAATACCTAAAGTATAGTTGCATTTTTTTAAATAACAAATAAATATATAGTCAGCTTGGAGAGAGCTGGAGTACCCGACGTTGCCTACCAACTTTCACTATCACTTCTCTGCAAATGCTGCTGCAGCCATTGGAGTCCGTATGCTTCCTCTTGCTGAGGCTGTCAGTTCTTCAATCTCAGCATTTAATTTGTGTATTACCCATTCCATTGCTTCTCGGCCCTTAAAAAAATCCAATACATTTATTGTTAGTGAGAGCAAAGGCATATATCGAATTAATGACACACCAGGAAGTAACATGGAGAGTGACAAGTTTAACTAAATCTGAGATGACATTTCGTTTTTGTCCTGGCTTTTTCTTTTCTAATGTTATTTGGCAAACATCAACTGAGCAACTGGCTTGATCCATAAACTGACTTTTATTTTGTATGCAAAAGATGTTCTCAAAATAATCTACAATTAAATAATAGGATGTCTTATTTATTTCATGATTACAGTGGTCCCCTTTTTAGGGGCAAGAAGATCAAATCCCTTTGCTTTATATTTTAAACCAAAAGCCTGTACAAGGTCCTACAGGATCTGGTCCCCAACTCCCTCCTCACCCCTTCTCTCCTAGTCTTCTGTGCAGTTCCTTGAAAAACAGAAAGAGCAATCGCCACTTCCTGTCTCAGGGCCTTCACACATGCAGCTCCTCCACCTAGAACACTCTTCTTGGCATACCCCTTGCAATCAACCTGTCCCCATTACACGCTCAGCAGAAACATCAGTTCCTGAACACTCATTAAACATTCTCATACCTTTCTGCACCTTTTCTTTCCTAATGACATGCTTCGTGATTAATGTCACCTGCCTTTTAGTTCCACGAGGGCAGGGACCACACTTGTTTTGCTCCCTGCTGGATTCCCTGTCTAGCATAGCACTGCCTGACACAGAGAAGGCATCCGTGAGTATCTCTTGACTACTGAATGACCAGATTAACCATGTGCTATGAAACAGTGCATTAGGCATCTTTCTCTAAACTTAATGTTCTCAGTAAACAAAAATTGGTTCTTGGGAGGGATGGAAAAATCTTCCTCTTTTATGTATAAAGTCCATACATATGTATATGATATGATATAACTTAATGGAGGTGGCAATAAGGCAAAAAATGTCTAAAACAAGTTGGGGGGAGATAATAGTGAAAAAAAGTTGAGAAACAGTGCTTTAAATGACACACAGCTACACATCACTGAGCACTTCCTAAGTGCTGGGCCCCAGGCTACGTACTTGCAGTGTTATCTCATTTACTCCATGCCAACCCTGTAAAATGGGTAATCTCCACTTCAAAAATGGGAAACTGAGGCATAGAAAGGTTAACTTAGTTGCCCAAGGTTGAAAGGCTAAAAGCTAGAGATGAACCCAGAGCCTGTGTAACTAACTGCCCAAGGTGCTGCAATTTCCCAGGGTAGAGTGGGTCAGGGTTAGCTTACAGGAACACACACCCAGTCAACTCCTCATTTATCTAGGAAATGAACCAGGGAATAATAACCAAGAAGCAGCCTCACTTACTTTACTAGCATTGGAGGATATCGTACTTGCCATCAATCCTTCAAGGTAACTGCTGAGGCTAACTCCTTTCACAGTGATTATAGCTTCTTGAGTCAAAACCGTTCTGGAACAAAACATACTCATGCTGGTTCAGATGACCCAACTTTCATTTTCAAAAAATTTGACCAAAAAAAAAAAAAAAAAAATTTTTTTTTCAACACCCTTTACAATACATTTGATAAAATATTTTTTTACTCACTTTTCTGGGTCCTGAGGATGTGGTTTGTATATAAGTCTCTCATCTACTGAAACCATATTTGTAAATGAAATCTACAGAATGAAAAAAAAAAAAAAAAAAAAAAGCAAATATTTTGGAACTGAAGATTCAAAATGTTTCCAAAATCAACACACAAGCCAAAATCTTACTAGCTAAACACAACAAAACAACAAATAAACCACTGCTATTATTGCATAAACTATTCACTGCCTACTTTTTATTTAAAAAACAAAGTTGAGGAAAGAAAGTATAATGATAATACACATAATCCCAAACTCATTTTATTGAGTGCTATCCCCTTAGACAGGCAGGATCATCAGAGCAGGAAGGGTAAGGAAGCAAAACACAGGGCCGAGTCTGGGCTGCGCATGCGCACGGAGTCTCTAAACCACCCCGAGAACATGCACTCGCTTATATGTCAACTAGAAGAGACACAAAGAACTCAGCCAGACAGTTCAAAATGAAACAAAAGGGGGCCAAGACTTACATTAGTAGATTTGAGTTCCATTGTTTTCTCTACAGGATCAACTACAGAATGTTCTTGCACATACGTCTTTGTTCTTGCTGCACCAATAAGCTACGTAAAACATTCAGAATTAGTAATCAGGGGAGGAAGAATTTCTTCCCAAGTACATCAATATTTTATTTGCAGGAAAAAATGTCAATATCTTGAACCAAAAATCTGTTTCATAAAAACCAGAGGAAACAAGCAAAGTTCAGAAAAATGGCCTATTGACACAATATGGATGAGATGAGACTGTCAGACACAAAACCTTTTCCCACAGGCAATTAGAAACCAGCCCACTGAGATGTCTGCAACGTGAGGCACCACGATGAATCTGCCGAGACGCAACAGTGGAGCACTGAGGCTGAACTATGGAAATCAGGCTTGGGGCATCATGGCAGCTAGAAAAAAGGAGAACTCAAAGGCATCTGTATTTTCCCAGAACAGTCCAAGGGAGGTGGCACCTCAGCTTCATTCTCCAGACAGAAAAACAGCTTTCTCATGATGGAGGATCACACATCAGTGTCCACGGTCACTCCCTGTGCTAAGACCCCAACCCCATCCCCTGACGTTGCTCATTTCTAAGTCCGCACTAGCTAATGCCATGGTTTGCATAAAGGAGGCAGTAAGTACATTCCTAATAAAATGTATACTTTTGTTTTCCTAGTGAACCTACTTTCCATAAAGAGACCCTCTACAGAAACCTGGATCCACTATTACACCGGTTTTCTCACATTATGGTAAATTGGCATTCAGTTTCTTCCTGGTTAAATCTGCTCACTAAAGCCAGCTTATTCTTAAGGGAATAGAATTATTTCTAAATGTACAGGAAGGAGTTCCAGACCTTGGAACAAATGTGGCAAGAACAAGTCCGAGAACATACTCCTTACTTAATGTACCCAACCCACCACTGATCACAGAACTGTCACCTAACAATCATGACCAGACCATTACTTCCAAGTCTCAAGTTGCTGGCAAAAGGAGAAAAAGCAGAATATAAGTCTTTTCAGATTACACAGAATTAGCTGGCTTCCTTCAGAAGATTCTATCAGGTGCCTTCATGAAGACTGTAATAATATTTCTAATTCATTATACACTTATAACTCAAGTTTATTATAATACAACTTGAACTGATGCAAAAATGACATTCAGAATCGGCTCCCACAACCTATTTGAAATTATAATGCAGTTTAGAAAACTTCTCTACAGCAGTCACATTTCTCCGGCAATAAAGACACACTTACAGACTTCACAATGGAAGGCAGTCCCCACTCTGTGCTGAGAAGTCTGTGGCTGTGCAACTTTCCAGAGGGATCTATATGTCTGTCCAACACATCAACTCCAACCACACTTGGGTTCATAGGGTTTGGGTATTTCTGCATTGCAGCTGTTGTAACAGTTTCCCACGGGTGGCTACCGATGTGAACCAAAACAAAACAAAACACCCAAACATTTAAGAATATGCATATGAGTTAAACAGTTTTTATAATCCATCAAATCATTCTTTACAATGTAAGTTTAATGAGTTTTCCTAGGAAAAATTATCTTCTGAAACAATGATGATTATGGGAAATCAATCTACATTTTTAACAGGCTTCAGTATTTTTCCACAATACAGACTATGTAATAAAACTCATATCTATAAAGATCAAAGTAGCCTACAAAGCATTACAATATAGTTTCTTAAACCATCTTTCCTACTTACCATTATCCACTTTCACATGTAAATTATTTCTAGGAAGAACCAGTGATTAAGAAAATGTATTTAAAATTGTGTTCTACTGAAACAAAGAGCCAAACGTATCATTATGCTGTTTGTTATTTTGTCTGATCCCAATTCTATCAGGTTTTAAGGAAGTAACAAAAGTAGAAGAATTTATGGGCACTATAAACTCTTACGGGGATCACAAAAAAGATCCAAAGCTTTGATTTAATTATTGAACTTTTCCTTCATATTAATGTAATAAATAACATTCCCTCCAGTCAATCTTTATTCATTGTTTTTCTCAAAGGAGTGATTCTGATTTCTGTTTTGAAAAGGTCACTCAATACAATAAAATGTCCTTAAGGCACTCCTAATATGCTACTTCCTAATATTCTCTTTTAATATTGTAAGCACTTGCTTATCACCTAGTATTGAAGTGGTAACAATATCACATCACTTGAGAACTTGCAGTATCTTATTTTCTTGAAAAAGGACATGTGCTTGGGTGATTCAAAATGTGATGCACCTTTGTTCACTTCACAACTTCTGTGAATAAAACACTTGTACAAAAGACATCATTTTCAAAAGGACATTAAGTACAATCAGTATTAAAGGTGATTTAGTCCACCTGCAGTCTGATTCTAGCCCCTTCTATGCCACTTATCTGTGCTCTCATCTTCATTTGAAGGAAAAAGACAAGATCTGGGGATGATGTTTCAAGCTACAATGACTGATAAGCCACACAGCATTACTTTTTATTTGTCTAAAAATGAAACAGGTAGACATTATTCCAACTTTTTAGAGACCTCAGATTGACAACTACATCTTGTCAAAAAAAGGAAAATCTCTACTACATTAATTTCCCAGAACCCTGGACAACCAGTGACATTATTTTTAATGTTTTCATTATAATACTGTTTTCTCTATAATATTATACAAATGAACCTCATTATGTCTTTAGTCTCCAGGCTTATCCAGCAATCAATGCAGATATATAAGCAGAGTTGCTTCATCAATCTGAACCGTCCCCACAAATAGAAGCATACAGGCCAAGCACTCTGATTCTTACCAAGGCAACTATCTAAAATGAAAATCAGATAAACCCTCTGCAGGTCTCCATCCAGTCATATACCATGGTTAGCTGGCTTCCATGCCCTTATCTCTTCCCCCAACCCTCTCTAAAAAATTAATAATCGCATGGCCTCAGGGTGGTTATGCATTATTTGTAATTGAGTCCATCTCCCCTTTCTGAACCAACTTGAAACCACTGATGTTGACTTAGCTTGGCTCAAGATTATGAAACATAGCCAGCTCAAACATTACAAACAACACTTATTATGATTAATAATCTTCCAGCAATTAATATGAACTGTACTAACATAATTATGTGAAAAGGACCTCATAATGGAAGACATTCAAAGACTGTACCAAAGTAGAATCAGGAGGACCTGGCTATGGCTCACTGACCTGTCCCACTTCTTCACCCTTGAAATCAGGTGAGGACATTGTTAACTTCACTGGGGCAGCAACAATGTCTTCATTTACTTAATAAAATGTGATCAATCCAAAGAACAGTGCCTGACACATACTGGGCATCTCTATATGTTGAAGGAATCAATGAATGATTTCACCTGGTTGCCAACAGTAGGCCCCAGAAGAGGCCTTGGAAGAAAGTGCTGGAAAATCAATAGATAAGATGTAGAATGATGACTTAGATATTGTTGTTAGTAACATCCTAAAGATGAGAAACAACATTCAGATTTGTGAGGGGAGATTATGACTTCAGCTTCAGGTAGGCTGAGTTTGAAGGGCCTGTGGGACAGGAGGGTAGCGATGCCTAACAGGCACCTGAAAATAAAGAGCGAAGCTGGAGAGGCTGGAGCTCAAGGTACAGATCTGGGTGCCATAAATGTGTACTTATCATTTGGGACTTTGACCAAACAGCCCAGTTTATATGGGGAGAAAGCACGGATCAGGGCTTCTTCTCCCAAGATAAAAAAAAGTCTGTGACAAAAAGAGAAAAAAAAAAGAAATTAAGATCATAGATGAAATCCAACATAGGAAGGCCAACAACAGAATCTCACTGAACATTTACACTGAAAGGGAAAAAGACAGGGAAGTGTTGAAGACAAAGGCAGAAAGATTACAGAGGGAAGCAGGGGACGGGTCAGGAAGGAGCAGTAGGAAAGATAAGGGAGAAGAAAGTGCTTTATTTTTTGAGACAGAGTTTCGCTCTTGTCCAGGCTGGAGTGCACTGGCGTGATCCCAGCTCACTGCAACATTCACCTCCTGGGTTCAAGCGATTCTCCTGCCTCAGCCTCCCGAGTAGCTGTGATTCCAGGCATGTACCACCATGCCCGGCTAATTTTGTATTTTTAGTAGAGACCGCGTTTCTCCATGTTGGTCAGGCTGGTCTCAAACTCCCCACCTCAGGTGATCTGCCCATCTCGGCCTCCCAAAGTGCTGAGATTACAGGCGTGAGCCCCCGCACCTGGCAAGGGAGAACAAAGTTCTAAAGAGACTCAGTGCCAAGAATTTCTGAAGCATGCAAACCTGGAAGAGGAATGAAATTAAGCATCCCCAGAGCTGAACTGGACTAGTGATGAATGTGGCTAGGTTAATGAACAACATAATGACTACAACTCTCAAGGCTTCTTCCTCCCACAAAGACTGTAAACAGTAGGAAGAAAAAAAAGCTCCCTTCTGATTCTAATATTCTACACTTTGCAGGATACAGCAGGCCCTAGGATGTGTCCTGCTAAGTACAAATGCTGACAACGTTTTAAAAGTTGCCTTCAGAGGCTGGGCGAGGTAGCTCACACCTGTAATCCCAGCACTTTGGGAGGCCGAGGCAGGTGCATCACTTGAGGTCAGGAGTTGGAGACCAGCATGGCCAACATGGTGAAATGCTGTCTCTACTAAAAATACAAAAATTAGCAGGGCGTGGTGGTGGGCGCCTGTAATCCCATATACTTGGGAGGCTGAGGCAGGAGAATCACTTGAACATGAGAGGCAGAGGTTGCAGTGAGCCAAGACAGTGCCACTGCACTCCAGCCTGGACGACAGAGCAAGACTCTGCCTCAAAAATAAAAAAAATAAAAGTTGCCTTCAGAGACACTTTTTAAAACATAAATGGCTTTGTAGTATATTTATTTACAAGGCTATACCAATTAAAACTGTGGCGATGACATTAAGATCAGCGGATGAGAGCAGGTAACTCAGGAAAAAAAAATTTGCTGCTTTAAGTTTGTGCCTTTTTTGTTCACGGAATTATGGACCTGGAAGAGAATTTAATTCTCCACATCCAACTGGTTCAAGGCCTATTTTCGTTAATAAACATTTCACACTATCCAAAAAGTTGTTCCTGAACATGGCCTCAAAGAGATTCAACACGGGTAGGCCATGACGACCGTCCTCTTCTATTGCTCAGATGAAAATGGGAAATCCAAGGTCACACGCTTGTTGCTGCCAGAGCGAGACCTTGAATTCCAAATCCAAGGCTCTGCGGCGTAGATGAACAGGTTGGGAAAAGGTGTCACGTCCTGGTGGCCTGAGTTCACCCACAACTCACAATCGGAGGTAGGAACTCCACCCAAACGGCGACCAGGAAATGTCCACTCTGCAGAAAACCAACACCTCCCTCTTAGGATTCTCGGGTCCACGTCCCAAAGGGGTTCGGCAGGGCGGGATGTGGCAACCCTAAGTGCAGTCAAGGACCTCGTGCTCTGCGACGCCCCCAGGACCTCAGGAGGCTGCCTCCTGGTGGGGGACAGTCCGGAAGTGGCTTCGGCGGCCCTCCCAGCCGCAAGGCCGCCTGGGCCCGGAGGTCGGAGCCGTCCCCTCGGCTCGGGCGCCTCGGGGTCGTGACCTTGGCCAGCCCTCAGTGTCCCCGGGGCCCGCAGGCTTCAGGGTTCGCCCCTATCGCTAGGCCCGACGCCTGGAAGCCTCCTGAGGGCCGCCTCTGCCTCGCCTGGAGTCCAGAGCCGGCGTGCCCACCCTCCCCGGAGCTGTCCCCGCGCCCCAAACTTACTCGAAGACGTGCTCCGATGTCCAGATCTTCATGGCGCCGGCGACCTGAGCGATGACCGGGTGGCGCCAGGGCACAACTAGGTACAGAGGCTACACCGGCCCCCGCCCCGCCCCCAGCACACCAGCCGGCCCCGCAGCGCGCAGGCGCCGTCAGGGCCGACGCGAGGGACGTCCCGACGCGCGGCCCCACGCCCTATCCCAGTCCGGGTTTTGCCCCAGCCTTGCGCGCGGCGCAACGAAACCACGCCCCTTAGCGCCCGGCGCAACGCGCCGGCGCAATGCCGTAGACGGCACCTGGAGGCGGCGGCGGCGCGGGAGCTGTGCTGCGCACGCGCGGCGGGCGGGGGCGGGAGCCCTAACCTCTGGGCTTTGTTGGGTAAGGTCCAGGAGGTGCCTGGGCTCCCGCCCGGCCCTGTTTGTCGTTCTGGCCCAGCACAGCCTCTCCTGGCGTTTCGAGGCGTGTGGACGCATCCGGTCAGCCTGCTGACATGGATGTTCCTTGTGGTGCTCACTTGTGCAAAATTTCCTGCTACCCTATAGAGTTCCTGCCACCTCCTGGGGTCAGCCCGATCTATTGTCCCACATCCACCAGCCAGCCAGCCGATCAGCTGTGCCCTTCCCACCTGCCCTCCAGGAGCTTGCAGCCCTCCGAGGGGATAAGTAAGGCGTGATGCGGAGAACCTAACGCCAGACATGCCATGAATACCCCAACCAGGGGTGCAGTCCAGAAGCACAGTGAAGGGGCGGGTGGCAAAGCCTCCTGGCCCGGCAGACCTTGCCCTAGGTGCGTAGGATGATCTGAGCTGAGATGTCCCTGCCAGAGAGGGTTCCCTCGTCACCCTTTCTTAGCAGATCCTCCGACCTTTGTTGCTCTGCTCCATCACATCCTGTTGCATTTTTCTTAGCGCTTACCCCTCTGACATCACCTTGTTCATTTATTTATTGTAACTCCTACTCGAACCGAGCCCTTGAAGTCAAGGATCTTGCCTGTCTTGTTCCAAAATAATTCTCAGTGTCTCCTATATAGTCAAGGCTCAATAATTACTTATTGAAAAGTGAAAAAAATCAATAGCTATTTGTGGGATGAATGAATTAATGGAATCATCTAGTTTATTTGTTGTAACTTCCACTAGATTGTAAGCCCCTGAGGGCGAGACTCTTGCCAGACTTGTTCAGCGATTTCCCCATTCCTACATGACAATTATTTGTTTCCTCAATGGATGAAAGAATGACTAAGAAGTGCAGGGGCAGGAGGGGGTGACATGTGGTTTCATTCAGAGATGAGCCTTGTCCAGGGGACAAGCTGCCTGGCTTAGCTTTCAGAACAGGGCTTCCCACCCTGCTCTCCCACACTCTCCACAGATGTCTACTTTCTAACAGAACAATTTGCCATTTTAAATGATGGTTATGGAGGAAAATCTTTACATCTAGTTACTTAGAAGCTAGTTAGAAGGACCACTTCATTCTTGTTCTTAGCTTGTTTGATTGTTAAAAACAAAAAGCCAGGTTACTTTAGGAGGGAGGATCATTTTTCAAAATAGCATAAGTCTTTTATATAAGAAAACAGAAAAATTACATTAGACAGGAAGGAAATAATATGGTTGGGCAGTTGCTAAGTGCAATTTGTGGTACCTGAGATTTTCTTTTTTTAAACCTACGGTACTTAGAGTGATTTCTTCGGGAAGTAATGCTTTAAGGACTGCTGAGAGTGCCTCAGCCTTGACTAAGATGCGAAGTTAATGTCGCTGGGTGTTAAAAACACTGGTTCAGGAACCATAAGCACAGAACAGCCTGTCCCTGCTATTCCTGGAGTTCAATTAGGCTGTTCACCATCCAGCATTCCTGTTCTGTTTATTTTAGAGAACATTATTCTACCCTCAAGTTCAAAATTTCTGTGTTTTAGTCATGAAAATTAAATAACACCTATCTCCTCTGTCCCCAATACACACACTCTATCAGTCTAATTTTACTAACTAATCTAGAGTGATGGGATGGGCCATGGAAAGATGCAGATCCAGGACCCAGCTGTCTTTTCTGTGTGTCTCCCTATGGTGGTAATAATACCACCTCTTACTTGGATTTGGAGGGCAAGACTTTCACTACGAATATTTCCTGGAGACTCTCTTAGGAGACACAGAGGAAGCAAATTAATGGTTTTTAGATACCTAAGCTTTGTATAACTTGACAGTGCCTCTCACAGAAACAGATAAGTCATTAACAGATCATTAATTTGATTTGAAATTAAATAGGTGACTGGCAGTTGTGGCCCTTGCCCCAGGGATGACACACATCTCCACACCCTTCCTGTTGGGATCTTCTGTTGGGCTCTTGTTGAGCTCCATGCCTGGGTCAAGAATGAAGATGTGAC